TATATATTTAAACACACCTTATTTGTCGCAATAAGTTCAAAGTGTTCTCAAACTGCAGAACGTCCTCTCTTCCTCACAAGGTCCATGTCTCACTATCTCACTGATTTGTTATTTCGCACTAGCTACTTCCTCACCAAAACACACCACAGCCCCCGCCAGTGATTCATGTCCTTTTAAACCTTTTGAATCACTTACCAAAGCAGTGACGTAACTTCAGCACTTTCGAGGCTTCGGACATCACTGATCACGTGACTTTACCCAAACGAATCATGCTCCAACACAGAGCTTCTGAAACAGTGCGTCAGTTTTTTCAACACATGCGCCGGAGCTTTAGCTTCAAACTGCCCATCACTACTGAACGGAACCGCGCCACATCGGACCTCCTGGATCTCGACCCCTGAACGCAACTCTGGACCAACGACTCAGTCATCTCCTTCTAACCTGCTAACTTCCTCTGACCACCTGTGTATGACCCTTGCCTCGTTTCTGACCTCGAGTAAGTCCAGCGATCCATTCACTCCCCGTGACAACACAGCCCGGAACCAAAAAAACATCAGCTGTTGTTTCAACCCGGACTTCAAKTCAGCATTAAAGGTTGGTGACTTTCTTTTTCACAAATAATAGTGTTCACGATCCAACCTAACCCAAAGCTTCTGTGTCCAGAACTGACGACCCCGGAGTCCGGTCCCAACCTTCCAGCCAAAATTTCTAACAATAAACTTGTTAAAACTTTGACGTTGTTCTGTGTTTACTCAGAGCTCAAAATAAAAAACTTAACACAAACAGGTCCTGGATGAGATATTTTCAGGAGCTCAGGAGGAACAAGAGAATGAGGATGTATCTGAAGAAAATGGGGAGAAATGCAACCCAGAGAATTGATGCTTCTTCAGATGATGAAGAAAAACATTCTTCAAGTTGACAGACATTTTTGTAAAATGGCAAAATTGCATGGTCCTCATCAAATTCAGACAGGGTGGTTGTCTTGTTGGAAGATGCAGCCTCGGCTTCAGCAGCTTCAGCTTTGTCACTGATTCCTGGATATTGGTCTCCAGAATCTGCTGATACTGGTTGGAATCCATGCGTCCAGCTTTAACAAGATTCCCAGTCCCTGTACTGGTCACAAAGCCCCACAGCATGATGGAACCACCACCACATGTTACTGTAGGTAGCAGGTGTTTTTCTTGGAGTGCTGTGTTCTTTTTTTCCTCCATGCATAAAGACCCTTGTTCTGCCCAAATAACTCTTTTAGTTTCATCAGTCCACAGCACCTTATTCCAAAATGAAGCTGTCCAAATGTGCTTTAGCAAACCTCAAGCAGCTCTGTTTGTGATGTGGGTGGAGACAAGGCTTCCTCTGCATCACTCTCCCATACTGCATCTCCTTGTGTAAAGTGTGCTGAATAGTTGAACGAAGCACAGTGACTCCATCAGCAGCAAGATGATGTTGTAGGTCTTTGGTGCTGGTCTGTGGGTTGACTCTGACTGTTCTCATCATCCTTCGCTTCTGTTTATTCCAGATTTTTCTTGTTCTGACACTTCGATCCTTGACTTGAACTGTGCCTGTGGTCCTCCATTTTCTCACAATGTTTCTCACAGTGGAGACTGAAAGCTGAAATCTCTCAGATAGCTTTCTGTATCCTTCCCCTAAACCATGATGATGAACAATCTTTGTTTTCAGCTCATTTGAAACTTGTTRTCAGACTCCCATGCTGCCACTCTTCAGAGAAGATGCAAAGAGGAGAAAAACTTACAATTACCCCCTTTAAATACCCTTTCTCATTATTGGAGTCACCTGTGTATGGAAATCAAGGGACACTGAACTTAACAAACCAAATGTGAGTTCCAATAATTAGTTCTAAAGGTTTTGAAATCAAAATGACAACAGTGCCCAAATTTATGCACCTGCCTAATTTTGTTTAACCATATTGCACACTTTCTGTAAATCATATAAACTTCATTTCACTTCTCAAATATAACTGTGTTTGTCCCCTATATGATATATTTAACTGTTTTTTTTATCCAAACAATCAATGATTTATAAAGGTGAATCAGGAAAATTAACAAGGGTGTCCAAACTTTTGCACCCCACTGTATGGTGTCTCTTGTTGTCTTACATGATCTCTGTTGAAATTTCTGTCTTCTATCTTTATGGTGAATTTGAACCAAACGAGAGAAAGGAAAACCTCAAACTGCCCTCATGAGCACATGCATTTTGCATAAACTTGCAAGCTTTTAATACTTGTCTTTTATGTTTTAATGTTCATTTTTATTGTTTTTATTATTCGTTTAAGCCTTTTGTTCTCTGAGGCACTTTGTGCACCTTTTGCTTGTTGTAAAGCTCTGTATATAAATGCTGACTGATTGTGCCAGGAGAGGAGGGATATGATCTCCTAACTTGATGTCTCAGTTTTTACATCTCAGAAGGGTACAATGTGAAAACATGGAAAACCAATATTATGTGACAAAGTCATCAGATGAAGAGATGGAATAAAGGTGAACCTTCAGCTGATCGGCTATAGGAACTGATCTCTAACCCACCCACTGAGACTGCTTACAAAGACATACAGTGTCAGAAATCAATCTCACATCAACCTGTTCCTGCTGGTCATGAAGCTGGACTGTACCAGGCCTTGTACTCCCAGATGAGTCAAATGTATCCTTTTGGAGGCCATCCTGTGTTGACTGTTCTTAGATCTACTCCCTTCTGCAGCTGTGGGACCAGCCTGGAAGGAGGGGAGCTGTAAATTTTGGGAAACGTCAGTATCAGCCAATGAAAAGAGTGTATTGAAGATAACAAGTTGGGCCAGAAGAAATGTAGCGACTGCAGGGAAGTGATTCACCGTGCCTTTGTGTGCTTAAAGAGGAGGTGGTTGTAACTCTGTTCCGTATATGTAATGAAATTATGTAATTTGAGTTTGTCATCTGTTTTAGACAGGAAATAGACTATGCATGTTTTTATTTGTGTGTAATTATCAGAGATAATCAGAGTTTTGACAAAGAATGTAATTATTTAAATGAAGTCATTTATTATTGTTCACTTGTAATAAAGATTTGCCTGCATGCACAAAATTGAGTATGGCTCTTGGGTGATAAACCTGTTAATGTTATTCTGCTGGACTATTTCTGTGACACAAAACACATGAGTTGATTTAAGGATTCAAAATCCTCCGCCTCCATTCTAGGTCTTAGCTTCAGAGAAGACTGTGGGCTGGTTTATAACTGGGTCAACTTGGAGGTGTTGGTTCCGACAAATAGTCTATGACCACCCTAGGTCGACTGCTTGCTAAGTGAGAAGTGAAACTGCAGCTTAAACATACTGTTCTTTGTGTTATAAACTTGTGTAATAAACATGCTTCTTCCTTCATGGTGAATTGATGCTTGTTTGTTGTTGAACTGAGTCAATCGTAACTTCAGCAGAGCTGGACCTTCTGGAAAAGGCTGGATCGAAGACAGGAGAACATAATGGTTGGTTGATTGGTTGGTTGGTTGGTTGATTGATTGATTGATTGAAAGAAAAAAAAACAATTTGCACCCTACTGAATTTAGTCTAAGTTTAATAGCAATTGGTTTCATGATAGATATTTTTACATTTGTTTTATGTATCAATCGTTGTATCTGTGAGTTACAACATGAGGTCATAAACCTAGCATAAAAGTGTAGCATTGTAGTTGTGGGGACAAATAAAGTGGTAAAGGTATCTTTGGGGCAAGTTGAGCCATTGCTCCTTGTTTTAGTAAACTATCATTRTGGAGCAAAGATCTAGTGCTTTAACGTTCACTTCCCGAGCACTCTTGAAAGCATTCTGTTCATTTTTGTTGTTGTTTAGTTTATCAGTAATTTGTAACAGTAAAAAAAAGTACCCACTGAATTGTGTACAACAAATAAAATACACTTGATAGAGGAAAGTGACTTTTATTTAAAGAAGGGGAGGGGTGTGTGTGTGTGTGTGTGTGTGTGTGTGTGTGTGTGTGTGTGTGTGTGTGTGTGTG